GTAAATGTTCCTGACACACATACAACACAGATGAATGCCACATTAAGAACTGGACTTAGTGTGCTGACGTGCACTGAAATTAGTGGAAAAGGATCCAGCTAACAACTGTGATCAGTGTCGAGTATCAGACAGACTTTGCATAATAATTCCAGTGTGATGTGTAAATATTGTGTTGTATTAAAAAAAAAAAGTACTGCTAAATGTAACACATAATACTTGTGCAGCTGTGCTGGAGTATCCCACAGAATTACAAAGTAAAAGCCGTGTGCGCTCAGTGTTGGCCTGGACTGCAGATGTAGTCGACGGAGCACTTCCCCAGCCGCACAGGAGAGGGCGACAATACAGAAAACCTTCAACAAATGCCCCAAAACGTAGAAGAAGCAGCGCAATTTGACGCAGTGTGGAAGTCCTGAAGAGTACGACGTCCGAGTTTCAAGGCTGATTTATCTGAACGCATGTGCGGGCATGTCAGGCAGCAGGTTGATGAGAGCCATTAGAGTGAGTGAGTTCGGAGCTCCGTCAGTCCTCAGACTGCGCTCTGACGTGACTGTCCCTCAGCCCGGGCGCACACAGGTGAGATCCACGCAGCTGGACTACTCCGTGCAAAGGGCACACAGCAGCAGCTGCACGTCACAGTAAAATCACGCGTGATGTTTGAAACACACTCACTGATAATGCTTATGATCTGCGTATAGAGTTTCATGAAATCATAAACCTGCATTACGGTGTGTTTGATTTTGGTGCTTGGCCTTCTGCATTACTTCTTTATTGTCTGATCATTTCCTGATAACATTTAAATTTACAGCAATTGATTACAGAGCAGTGGGGAGTAGATTTCATCACAGTGGACGTCTTTCTGAATGTGCTGCAACTAAGTTTAAGAATATAATCCACCCACTGACCGTCTTCAATGCCCTGTACCAACACACAGCAGAGCCGCTACTCCAACAGAGGTTGATTATCTTGTTAATAATTTAACCTCACTATGAGTGACTCTGGATACTGTAGCTCCTGTAGGCCTCAAATCAGAAGTTCTTGACTCCCTGGTATAATTCTCAAACACGTAGCCTAAAGCAAATAACTCGTAAGCTGGAGAGGAAGTGGTGTATCACACATTTAGAAGATCATCATTTAGCCTGGAGAAATAGTTTGCTGCTTTGTAAGAAAGCCCTGCTACTGCTAAGCAGAAGACACCAAACTTGTGTTTTATCTGGCTTCACAAATTTATCTGTTCATGAAGCCAGATAACACACACCAATTAGTTAAACTGCAGGAATGTCTTAAAGACGTAAAGACCTGGATGACCGCTAACTTTCTGCTTCTTAATTCAGATCAAACTGAGGTTATTGTACTCGGCCCTGAAAATCTTAGAAATATGGTATCTAAGCAGATTCTTACTCTGGATGGCATTACCTTGGCCTCCAGTAACACAGTGAGGAACCTTGGAGTCATTTTTGACCAGGACATGTCCTTCAATGCACATATTAAACAAATATGTAAGACTGCTTTCTTCCATTTTCACAA